TGGCCGTCGGTATGATTTATGACTAACAGATCGAGCCTTGCGATTTGTGACTGCTAAAGCAGCTTGTTTAATACCGAAAAATATTTCGAAAAAAAAATTCAACTGCGATGTTTATAACATCATGTAGTCATTTTTTCATCAATGCCGATTTCTTCATGACGTGAATCTCGCACACTTCAATAATTATTCACTCGAGAATATCTGCAGCATTTTCGTTTGAAATAGTCAAGAGATCATCAACTATTCCCGAAGATTCAATCAAAATTTTATTCAATTCCACTTACGTCGTTTGGGACTGGAACCTTCCATTGTTCCATTTCTTCCTCAAATAATTCCGAGTCGACATACTGAAAAATATTATTTAATTATTTTAACTGTTCATTACAACAAACTTCCTGTTAAAAAACACTATTGTTATTATTATAAAATCTAATCTTTTTGAATCTAATCGTTGTCATTATTATAGCCATCGATAGAAAAGAATTTCTAGAGTAACTAAGCAGAAAAGTATCATTAAGGGAACTCACTTGGATCGTCGGAAAGCCTATAAATACGGCGTACCGGTCGGGCGGCGGTGACGCCGTATTTCCAGCTCCTCTCGTTCTCAACGTTTGCATGGTGGATGAGGAGCTGGATCCCCATCATCCGGCAGATGGCCTCGATAAGCAGGGGCGAGGGTGCCCCTGCTCTAAATGCGGCCACTGAAATCAGGCAACAATTATTATTTGTTGCGCATTCACTAGATTCTATGGAAATTTCGTTCTTTTCTGTTCAATATTCATTGATCGCATCAAATTCTTATTATTTCAATCGACCATTTTGCGCTCATCTCAACATCAAACGCACATCATCACTTAAGCTGACGAGAATTGGTGATTGTGTCATGATATTACCAATACAAATTTTTCATTGCATCAACTAATGCAATGCTTGATACGTTATGCAACAATATATGAGTGAGGAGTGCATAATAAAATTATTATTTCATGTAATGGCAAACAAACTTACAGACTGAGTGACCACCCAGTTCGGGTGGTAACTGGCTTATCGTTACTGGCCATTCTTCATCGACCCACCGAACCAAATTCAAATAGTTGGGCATAAAACTCAGAACCCCCAGTACCTGCAGCAGATTGCTGCAGTAAACCTTCCCGCGACTCCCGTACTGTAGATCGTCGCCCACCATCCTCGTCTCCGGGTGACCCGGAACTCCTTCCAACGCGCGCCTCCCGAACATCTTCATCCTGACGTCCCGGTCGTTAACCACATCCTTCTTGCCTCTCCTGCCTCCGCTGCTCCTTCTGTGGCTGCTACTTCCCGGCATTTTTTCTACTAAAAATGCCTTTCAATTAATTTCTCAACACGTCTTGTAAAATTCCACTGAAATTTCGTGCAGATTCTGATCACGGTTCATCGTGCACGTTTTCATGTCTTACGTCGTCAATTACGCTTAGGTAATCATTGAATCCATCGTGTCAGTCATATTGCAGCGTCAACAACATCATCGAGTGTTCGTGCATGAAAAGGAGCTGAGAATCGTGTGCAATAAGATCAGGCAATGGATCACAAGAGATGACTCTTGCAGATTCCACTGTCGCCGCTCTCTTGAAACTAACCGGTTTCAGAATTCGTGCGCTTATATATTTAGTTTCAGATGCTCTTTTGAACATTTCACTCATGATCAAATGCATGCCTAAATTTTCTCAAGTGTTTAAGAACAATAGTAAACAGTGCAGACTGAAGACATTTTGATAACAGTTTGAGCGCATTCCCATTGGGCCGATTTATTTTCGTATTAGAAACGCACCTAATGAGACATTTTATTGTAGTTTGACACAAATGAACGAATTTATGTGAAACCACAGCAAAACAGATGTGAATAAATGCAACAGGATTTGAAACACATATTTCACAGTTGAGATTTTTACTTATTTGAAGGTTGAAGTTATTCGAGAAATTAGGCTTTTAACTGTTGATGAATCCGTAAGTTCATTTTAATTCACGACACTGGATTCATTTCGATCGATTGCATTTTTTCATACCCTACTGGGCAATAGTACGTTGTTTATTATTCCGCTGTTAGTGGAGCTCATT